TGCTGCGTTTCTCCTGTCAGGGGTGATCGCCCTGTTCTGCAGACAGTACGATATCATCAAAGATAACGAGCCCAACAACAGCAAGGAGAAAGCCAAGAGCGCCTCGGAGAACAGCACCCCCGAGCACCAGGGCGGGGGGCTCCTGAGGAGCAAGGTGAGAGCTGCGGGTGGGGAACGCAGCCAAAGAGCTGTGAAATTACCCCAAAATAGCCTCGGTTCAAAATCCTGTCCCCTAAACTGGGATGGAGGAAGAGAACACCCTCTAAAATCTTCTCTGTTAAATCAGGCTGAAGGAAGGGAACACTTTCCAAAATCCTTCCCTCTTAGTTGGGATGAAGGAAGGGAACAGCCCCTAAAGTTCTCCGCCTAAGCTGGGAGGAAGGAAAGGAACAGCCTCTAAAATTCTCCCAAGTTGGGAGGAAGGAAGGGAACACCCTCCAAAATCTTCTCCATTAAGTCACAATGAAGGAAAGGAACAGCCTCCAAAATTTTCCCCCTAAATCAGGATTCAGGAAGAGAACACCCTCCAAAATCTTCTCCCCAGTCTGGGATGAAGGAAGGGAACACCCTCCAAAATCTTCCCTGCTAAGTCAGGATGAAGGAAGGGAACAGTCTCTAAAATTCTCCCCCTAAATTGGGATGAAGGAAGAGAACACCCTCCAAAATCCTCTCCCCTAAACTGGGATGAGGAAAGGGAACAGCCTGCAAAATCCTCTCCCCTAAATTGGGATGAAGGAAAGGAACACCGTCCAAAATTCTCTCCCCCTCCAAAATCCTCTCCCCTAAGCTGGGATGCAGGAATGGAACACCCTCCACACCCATGGCCCTGTCGCTTCACTCCCACCTCCCGGATCCTGCGTGGCCCTGAGAAATCGCATTTCAAGCCGCGTTTTTGGATTATTTGAGCATCTCTGGAGGAAAAAATTGAGTTCCTCGGGTCCTCCCACAGCAGCCCTYRTGTGGCWCGTGGCAAAGAGGACRCTGCTGTTGTAATTAACCGCAGAGTTAATCAGCAGGAGCACGATGTTAAAGCCTAAATAGGTCAAGCTTTTAATTTCTCCCAAGTTATTTCAATTAATTTAACTTCCCCGTGTTTCTGTTCACACCCTCACTGTATTTATTTAGTATTTTAAATAGTTCACTAATTTATGCTTATTTAGAAGCAGCAATGAAATGCACAAGCCTAAAACCTCAACATTTTCATCCTCACGAGGGGGGTGGGAATGAGAATTTTCACAAAACATGAGCTCTGATGTGCTTTTTCCTTTCAATACATCCATTTTCCCCATTTTTTTTTTCTCTCTCTCCCAGTTCCCAAAAAACAAGCCCTCAGTGAACATCATTGAAGCATGACAGCCTGACACCTGAGAGATGGACTCCATCCCTCACTCTCACTCTCTGCCTCTGAGCCGTGATGACTGGGGAGGTGAAACGTCGTCGGAGCCATTTGGAAAACCAAACCTCGCGCTCGTCGCTCGCTGGCATTCACCTCCATCCGTGTTCTGCAAAACACCTGGCCAGGAAGGGGAAATCCTGCTCAAAAATCAGCCCTGACACTCAAAAAAGATGGGAAAGCGTCAGTGATGGATGTCGGAGCGATCCGTGACTCGCGAATCACATTTCCACCCTCACGCTCCGTCTTTCTGGGACAGTTTTCCTGTTTTTTGGGAATGCACAAGGTTTTGTCACTGTCACWCCATCCCGACAGGATTCCCAGGCATCAGGCACATCCCTCTGATGAGGGGAGCTCATCGCAAACGCCACCAAAAAGCCAAATTTTGGCCGCTGCGCGCTCTTGGCCTCGCTTTGCTCATCGATGTGTGTGGTGTAACACATCTCGCAGGTGGGTTTTTCAGACAAAAAAAAAAAAAGGCATCCCCCAGTTCCCATCTCCACCAGGAGAACTYCCCTGGTTGCTCTCCAGCCAGGCTGCAGCACATTCTTCACTTTGTTGCTGTCTCTCCTATCTCACACCGGTGCTCTTCACCTCGGAAAAAATCGGGGAACGCTGAGGCACAGACCAACATGAGGGGACACCAGAAGCTGTTCTTCAGCTTCCAGGATAAATTCCGACCATTTTCTTCGTGGTATTTTCAGCTGGGCCTGAGTCCGCCACGAGTGGGATAAAAGGTCCACAAAAATGTAGCCAGTCAGCAAAAAACAAAACAAAACAAAAAAAAAAAAGACAAAATACCTGATGATACCGGTTGCTATGCAAGGTCTCCAGGGGCAAGAGCTGTTTGTTGTGGAAGGCTCTGGCCTGGGGGGCTTTTTTTCTGAGGGCTTAAGTTCTTTCAAATGCTTCTTTTAGTAAAATTGCTGCGTGGGAAGGGCTGGTTCTCCTCACACCTCCTGCCTGTGCTGTTCTGGTGATGAGGAGCCTGCCAGAGACGGCCCTTCCCAAAAAAGAGATGAGGATGGCTGGGAAAAGAAAGGGCTGYGTTCTCCTCTCTCTGAGGAAGATTTGTCAGCTGAAAGGACCCCTGGGGATTGCTGGTGCTCTGGAAAGCTGGGAGATTGCGGGACCATCACGTGGAAAAGATGGGATTCCTTGCAGTGCGCCATGGGGTAGCTGTATTTATTTAATTCCTCCACAAAACCACTCCATATGCACTAGGGGATGAGGCAGGATCCTTCTCGGCCCATCARACTCCAGGAGGGGTTGGCCTGAGGGAGGTTTGGATCTTCCAAACCTGCACAATCCCCACAAAAAAAAACAACAAGCTGCCATCCCTCCTCTCCCACTGTCACCGGCCTTTTTTTCCCAAATCTGTTTTGGGATAAAGGCACCGGGGAATTTCACCTGTTGGTTTCAGCCAGGCCAACCCCAAAAATCCTCTCCGGCGGATCCTTTGCCTGAACATTTTCTTCCATCACCGAGAAGGAGAGGTCACCACCTCTGATACAGACAGAGCAATAAACATTTTATAATGTACAATAAAAGATTAAAGGCATCTCTCGTGTCCTTGTCATGCCTGAATTTAATAATTTTGTATTCACCTGCTTTGAGCAAGACATGCTAGAATTGGGGGACTCTATTTCCCAGACCTAAAATCTAAAACTTAAACAACTTAAAATATTTTCTCAATGTCTGGGTGGAGAAAACCAAGA